TTCTATACTGTTCACACTGTACATCAAGCAAGATACAAAACACTTCTATACTGTTCACACTGTACAACAAACAAGATAAGCACTTCTATACTGTTCACACTGTACAACAAACAAGATACAAAACACTTCTATACTGTTCACACTGTACATCAAGCAAGATACAAAACACTTCTATACTGTTCACACTGTACAACAAACAAGATAAACACTTCTATACTGTTCACACTGTACATCAAGCAAGATACAAAACACTTCTATACGGTTCACACTGTACAACAAACAAGATAAATACTTCTATACTCATTTCAGTTTCAAGGTATCAAGTTATATCAACTTAACATTTTAGTTCAAAATCAATAATTCATTTAAAAACCAAGAGAGATATTCTGTAGTATATACCCCATTTTAAGCAATAATGTTTTATGCAAATTTTGTTATTTAACACTGAGAGTATAAGAATCTTTTTATAAGTGGACAGAACTTATGGTTTTATTGTCAATCTTCTAAATTTACTTGTATTGTAGTTATGATTGATGAAGCATATAGAACTTTATTGTACTACTGTTCTTTCAGTAAATATTTTACAAACGGAGGAAACTTAAAGACAGTTTGCTTATTTAAACTTTGAAAAACATTTACGTTTTGAAAATGTTTCACAAATTAAGATACAAGGGTTTTAGTTCTACTACAAAGCTTTGGCTACTTTGTGTTAAATTTTGCTTTTCAAGTTGATTAGAAACACAACTCAGACTTACCTAACAAACTTAAAATAACAATATTTAGTTCTTAAATCATAATAAGTCAGTATTATATATATTAAAACATACGCTACAGTGCAATCACCTTTTGTAACAGGTAACTGATAACAAGGAACCCCTTGTTTTGGATCATGTGGTGCTGGACGGTTGGATATCGCTCAACGATGTTACACACAAAGCTGATTATAGTGGAACTGTAAAAATAGTGGAGAATCAGCAACTAAATAAACAAAAACTTAATAAATGAAACTAACCTCTCAGGCAGCAGTGATATAGGTTATAATGTATCATAGCTTACAGAAATTAACCTATCACACAGTTCGGAAGTAGTTTTAGGAGTTCACATACTGGTGTTATAGCTTCATATTACCTAACATATCACACAGTTCTGAAGTAGTTTTAGGAGTTCACATACTGGTGTTATAATTTATATTATAATTATACTTTTCATCTGTTCCAAATTTCTAATGAGTTTGTTCAAATGAACATACTTTCGTTTCAAACATTGTATTTTCTATCAACTAGTGTACAGTATTAACATGTAGAGTGGTTAATAAGGGATAAAGTGGTCATGTTACATTAATTTTAATTGCACTAGAAAGGCCTTACCAGACGTTATTTTGGTAAGCTGACCCACCCATTGGAATATCAAGTTGGCCAAGTAGAGGGAACAGTATCTGTAAGGAATTAGAAGACCATTCTTTTAAAGCTAAGCTGTCAGATATATGTAATGAGATTCAAACATCTAAATCAAATTATCTGAATAACAATAATGAAATCTTTACTTAGATACTAAAAGTGAAATCCTTACCTGAATACCACCTACAGCAGTTAAGGTTCTGTGAATGGAGTGAGTTGTAATAGCTTTAACATCCTAAAGGATGAAACAACAACATTTATATTAGAAAAATATAAATACATCACAGTATTTTTCATACATGTTCAAAAACAAATACCAATTTTCACAAAATACACGGTGGACCAAAATTATCTTTCCTATATTAAAATGTAATAAGTAAGTAACATGCAGTTAGTTAGTTAATTAATTATCAAATTTTAAAATAGGAGAGAGAACTTTTGACCACCCTGTATTCTTACATCATCGTACAGACAGCTCTAGTTTCTTTCCCAAACTAACAGAAACAGAATAAGAAGCATACTGCATTTCATACGTTACTTTATATCAAAAATACTAATTATATATATATTCAGTATAGAGAATTTAAAGATTAGAAAACATCAAATCATAGAACAGCTACAGTTTCAAACATTATTACATCTAACCAACCATTACCCAGGCAATATTTAATATGTACTAAAATTAAAGTCTGGTTTTACTATGTAAAGTCCTATCACACAGGGTTACACCGAATTAACAACAGTTCTACTACAAAACGTCTTAGTCACTGGGTTATACTGAATTAACACAGTTCTACTTAGAAAAACCCTAGCACACAAGGTTATAATGAATTTAAAAGTCCATAAATAGTTAAGTCTTATGATTAAACATACAACTTAACGACAGAATTTAAACTTCTTTTCTACAATACAAGGTGATGGTACCTGAAGCATAAGTGCATGCGGAGTGTGAACAAAGTACGTAGAATTCCCTTTAGGTGCAACTTGGAGACATAGTTGACGATCTGTTGCCACAGGATTGTACAGGAAAACAATCTGGCTTGATAGTTTTCCATCATAGAGCACCTGATGTTTGGTGAACAAAAAAAAAAAGATGAAATAATTTAAATTTTATGTAAATCCTATATCATTGATAAACACAGCATTAGAATATATTTATTTATTACACAAGTTCACCATAGATTATAACTGGTTTTATTTTACTTTCTCAAAACAAGTTCCTAACACCAGTTGACAATAAACAATTAAAAACTATAACTACCTTCTCAAGACAAGTTAGTAACACCAGTTGTCAATAAATGAAGTAAAAACTATAACTACCTTCTCAAGAGAAGTTAGTAACACCAGTTGTCAATAAATGAACTAAAAACTATAACTACCTTCTCAAGACAAGTTAGTAACACCAGTTGTCAATAAATGAACTAAAAACTATAACTACCTTCTCAAGACAAGTTAGTAACACCAGTTGATTGCAAATAAAATAAAAAACTATAATTACTTTCTATAGATGAGTTAGTAATTTCAGTTTACCATATATAACAAAAAATTATAACTACCTTATCAAGATGAGCTATTAACACCAGTTAACCATAAGTCACCTAAAAAACTTGAATTACTTTATAAACTCCAGTTACAAATTAGAATATTAATTACAAATTCTTTCTTAAAAACAAATTACTAAACAGTGGTATTTGTACACAGTTCAACTTGGTCTATAAAAGTAAAACATTTTTATCTATGAGAAAGAAAAATAAACCTGTTATATAGATCCAATGAAATTGAAAATTTGAGTTTTAAAACCTTTTTTTTTTACTTTTATACAAAGTTCCAAGTGTGAAAACAAAAAGGGAACATCTTAAATTCTGGTTACAATTCCTTACATTACCACATTCCAGTTATAGAAACACTTGCCTTTTTAAGGTTATCAGGCAAAGAAGCAATGTTCTCTTCTTCAAACCTGAATTGATTCTACAAATGCAGAGAAAAAACAAGTTTTCATTTGTTTTCTAACTGATTTGTTCGGTTAAAAATATCGTGTGAAACATCAATGAACAGAAAAATATGTAAAAGTATATCAATTTTCACACTTGTAAATTTTCTTAAAGTAATTTATCATCAAGCCTTAATTTATTAATTAATATAGAGATAAAATCACTTAACTCTCTCAATATGGACTCAGTCAATTTGACCGACCATGTGACCTTTTTGTACTCTTAAATGGTTTTCACAGATTTGATACTACTAACTTTTAATGTAGTATGTATATTTTCACAAAATTTGGTAGTCTTTCAGTAAGCATTATCAGTCTTTCACATACAAAAAAAATCATATTTTTGGTGAAGTATTGTAAATAAACTAAAAAAAGATTTGCCGTGAATATATCGAGTAGTTGCTTTGAATAGTCCATATGCAAAGTGATTTCATGATAAGATTAAAAATACTTTTCTTCATCTCAAAAATCTCAGATTTGATTTGTGTAATCTCTAATTTCAAATGTTTTTTTTTTCAGTAAAAATTTATATTTTATCTGTTATTTTCGCTACACTAACTCTATTACAATATCGGTCAATTTGATCAATCTCGTAACCACCAAAAAAAATCTAAATAAATCTAAATTACCCTTTTTTTCTTTCTAGAATGACTTCAAATTGTAACATGAAACTACAAACTATAAAAAATAACAAAGTACTTACCCTAATGTTTTTTTTCTTGCTGTTGAATGTCAATGACACTTAAACCTACTTTTTTATACTAATGGTAGTAATGCACTAAATAATTTTTATTTAATTAATGCACCAAAGAACATAGACTAATAACATGCAAAAAGTAGACAATGTTCCCTAACTCTCAAAATTTTTCTGGCTTTGTAACCATGTGACAAGATCTGTTACAAATTCGTCTAAGCTAGTCGATATCTTTTGTGTGGGAACAAAGCTTGTACTAAAAGAGAAATTGACAATTATCTGTTTAGAAAACAATGTAATATAATATGTTATTTGATAGATGAAAAACTTAGCTTTCTATTGGTTATAGATAATATATAATTAAACGTGAGAGAGAACTATTAACAAATCCTGAAAGAGAAGATGTGACAGGTGGGTTTGACAAGAACAGTCTGATTTTCTATTTGATAGCTCTATAACCAAACTGTCTATATTGGCTGAAACACAGGTTATCAATATTTTACATGTTTGTATCAACTGAGGACCAAGTTATTAAGGTAATTAACCCTATCGCAATAATTATCCTTTACTGTACGTTGTGAGGTTTTAGTGACTGACATTAAAAATATTATTAATCTAATTTTTGTTTAAGTTATACCAATTAGTATAGCGTAAAATCATAGTTAATAATCCATATTTTAATAGTATACAAGTTTTAAGTTCTTAATTTTATAAGGCAATATTTTAAAGAATCTCGAATTTCCCCTAGCATGACACACATGACACATTTTCTCTAGGCATCTTCTCTTCACTATTTTATCCACCATCCCTCCAAAAAGTACAAAATTAAACATAAATTACTCACTATAAAATCATCATTGTTCAGACAATCCATAATTTTTGTAGCCTTTAATTTTTTTTTTGTAAGAATTTAAAAAAATACAAAATAAAGTAGAAGTTTAATAACAGTAAAATTAGTGAGCTATAAAATACATCTGTTTTGAAACATGTTTTTCCTTATTCAGTGGTATATGGTGGCCTTAGTTTGCATCTATAGTCGGTGGAGTAAGTGTGAAACTAAGTGTTTTGTGAATGGACAGTTAGCTTCCAGTACAGAAATGGCTTGGTTTGTTAACACCTATGATGTAAGTATGAAAAAACCTCCTTTACTTTCGTGGAGTATCTTTAATTTTTCATTCTGTTTCTTAAAAAGTGATATCTTTATATGATATAATCTTCTCCTTGGATGTATAAACGTTTTATATTCATGTATAAAGTATAATGTTTATATTATTGCCATTCAGAATATTTCTTGATTTGTATTGTGTACTGGTTCACAAAAATAAATATTGGACTTCATATAAGTATTTCCTATTTTGTGAAATTCATTGCAAGAGGAATAACATATTGTTTTATAAAAAGCTGACAAATATATATATATTAAACTTTGCTTACCTTTTTCTCCTGTCATTAAAGTTGGTTGTAGTATAGGTTAAAACACATAAATATGAATTGATTTTATTGGTTCTTCAAATCTTGATTATTTCTTTTTGTTTTGACTTCAGCCATTTGATAAGTGTTTTATCGGAGCAGCTCCAGAACTACAGGAGAAGAATGCTTTTTGTGGTCAAATGTCAGCTGTCTACTTGTTTAGTGAAGCACTGTCTGCTCATCAGATCTGTGCTATTCACCGGTTGGGCCCAGGTTATCAAGTAAGTACAGCATATCTAACTTTTTCATTCAAACTCATACGTATCAACAAGTTAGGAACTACAAAATTTGGCGTCCATTCATCAGAGCATGGTAAAAGCAAATACATAAAATTTTATATAAACAGTGTATATAATTAAAATACAAAATCTTATTTCTGATAATTTAAAAATGTTTTGCAACATATTATTATCACTAAAGTTTGGCATTATTCTCAGTAACGTAAATTCATACTCAAAAAAAAAGTTAACTATTTTAGTATATTCTGGTAAATGAAATAATAAGCAACAACTGACAACTCTTTCTTGATCCACTATTTCATACAAAATACACAATAACCTATTTAAAAATCGAGAAACTTTTATGTTTGAAAGATTAAAATAACTCTAAAATTGATTTTGAGAACATTAACAATGTATTTACTATCTGAAATTCAAACACTGATGTTAAGTCAGGGCTAGATACACAATTTAATTAGTCACCAAACATAAGAAAATTACAGAAACTACTCAGAGTAAGCATTCAGAAAACCAAGTTCAATATGCCATTTATTTTGGTAACAGACTCACCTTTCTTGGCTGAAACTCATACTTCACACATTCTTGATATCCTTTCCCTTTGATTTTGATACTTGTAAAGACCAAACAATTTCCTACAAAATGGGCTGAGTAACCCACCTCTTTACTGGTTCGAAAACTGGAAGAAAGATTCAATGACAAAACTTAGATGTATGATTGATATTACTGCTCTGAGTGTGGCACATGGTCTGGTTCACTGGTAATAATCATATCTAGTCAAAATTCCAGACAAAAATGTGACAGCAGGAAACAGAATTTATGGCTCATATATCAAAACTTTTCAATTGATGTTCTTTTGCATATTAAAAATCAAAACTTGTTATTAATGCTTTTGAACTAACCTGAATAGAAATGGTTTCTCACGTTCAATGTTTACACTGTTTATTGGATCCAGTCGAAACCAAGTGCTGAATGTCCAACCATTCTGATATGGCCATTTTGCAAGTGGAGGTAAAGCAATGGCCTGAAATATCATTAGAAATTTCTCAGTACAACTAAAATTACTAGATTAAAACCTAATCTTTGACCAAAAATTATTTTAACACTGATAATTGGACTTTAAGTTTTTATGGACTGTACCTGTCAGTAGGTAGGATCGGATGAGGTTTTGGTCTTTGTGTTGAGGTCATCATGAGGTGACCTTAATGTTTGTAGTTTTGTTGAAATGTCTACAAAACTACTTGATGAATATCTGTACTAGCCGTCCCTATTTTTGAACTCATATGATTAGAGGAAACCAGTTAGTCAACACCATCTTCCACCAACTCTTGGGCTATTCTAATAGTGGTATTTGACAATCACTATCATATCTCCATAACACACGCATGACTCCATAAGTGCAGCGAATGACATATTTTTTTGGCATAAAGGAGTATAAACCATGGAATCTCAGACCCACAGTCTGGCACACTAACCACTGGGCCACACTCACCTTAGTATGATGGAAAGAACAAATCATTGTGTACTCTAGATAGGCATAATCCAAAGGAACTTCAAATACGTAAAATCTAATTCTGTCTAAAACAAACTACAGATAAATATTAGTTTGAGGAAAATATTTTATTATTTCATACATTTATTATATCTGAAAGTTGTTGTGCTAAAAATCACATTTCTATATCTTGTTGCTTACAAAGGTAACAGTAAAGTTCACACCACACTCACTATACATGTCCCCTTCCTAAGAGAAAATCTATTACAGTAAAGTTCACACCACACTCACTGTACATGTCCCCTTCCTTAGAGAAAGTCAGGACATTCTTAACGGTTTTACAACCTTAACCAAGAGGGGGCACTTACAGTTCCTTTTTTCCCAGAGAAACTGAAGAATGTATCCGGCCCTTGACGAAGTGGAAGTTGACGTAAAATGGATAAGAGCTTCACTGAATGTCTCGGCTGAAAGTTGTTAAATGATGCACATGAGTATCAAAGAAATCTCTAAAACTAAAGACAATGTCTAGACTGAAAATTATTACAAAAGGTTAAATGATGCACATGTGTATCGAAAAAATCTAAAAATACAGACAATGTTTAGATTGAAAGGTGGTACAAAAGGTTAAATGATGCAAGTGTATTGAAAAAATCTCTAAAACCAACAATGAATGTCAGCTGGAAATTATAAAAAATATTAAATGATGTACACATATATGGAAAGAAAATCTCTAAAAATACTGACACTGAATGTTTCAGCTAAACGTTTTCACAAAAGGCTTAGTGACATACTGAACTATGATATTATGCTAAGTGACAAACTGTACTATGATATTATGCTTAGTGACATACTGAACTATGATATTATGCTAGGTGACATACTGAACTATGATATTATGCTAAGTGACATACTGAACTACGATATTATGCTTAGTGACATACTGAACTATGATATGCTAAGTGACATACTGAACTATGATATTATGCTAAGTGACATACTGAACTATGATATTATGCTAGGTGACATACTGAACTATGATATTATGCTAAGTGACATACTGAACTATGATATTATGCTAAGTGACATACTGAACTGGAAACATACAAAGATAGTATGAAAGGACTGAGTACTCGTGAATATTTCTGTGAGAGTTTGTTTAGATCTTTTTTTTCACTAGTTATGAAAAGAAAAAGTAACATTCAGCTTTAGTGATAAAAATAGTTTTTATATATAAAATGCAAAGGAAATACAATAAGTATCACAAAATGAAAAAAAAAAACATAAGAATGTTATTTTAATAAATAAAATTAAACCAATATTTATGATAGTTGTGTTGTAATTATGTTAAAAGTTTAATACCTGACTCTGTCTTGCTTCATTTTTTCTTGATAAAATTCTATATATCAAAACAGCTGTTGTAAGGTTGAAAGCATCTTAATATGAAAGGCACAAATACATCAACTCACCCACTGTCCTTTGTCTGCTTTCATACACCCAATGAGAAGCTTAAACTCTTTTACCGAGATGCTATAACTGGACAGTACTCCCAAAAGTTCAATAAGTAAATCTAGAAAAATTGACAATAAAATTTCACCCTTTATCTGTTATTGTTTTACTTTCAAACACATAGAGTAAAAAATGACTGTAAAGTGTAAAAAAAAAATCAATCAAAACTTACATGAGAAACATAAATATTATCAGGTATTACCTCAGGAACATGGAAATTATCAGGTATAACTTTAGACATAAAAATGTTATATTGATTCAGAAATACGGATCTTATCAGATACTAGTTTAGGAACATGGAAATTATCAGGTATAACTTTAGAAATACAGACATCATCAGATATTACTTTAGAAACATAAATGTTATTAGGTATTACCTCAGGAACATGGAAATTATCAGGTATAACTTTAGACATAAAAATGTTATATTGATTCAGAAATACGGATCTTATCAGATATTACTTTAGGAACATGGATGTTATCAGGTATTAGTCTAGGAACATGAATGTTATCGATTATCAGTTTAGGAACATGAACATTATTTCTACCAACTAGTACAGAAGGTTGAAAGTCCAAAAAAGCATTACCCGAGAGAATCAGTAACTCTTAGATTCACAAATGTAAAATAAACAGAAATATACTTAAGTAACAATCATATTCTATACAATAACAGAGTAACTTGACAAAACTAAAGCTGTTCTATGTTGACTAAAATGAACCTATAGATAAACATAAAGCATCTGACAGTTTCCTTATTTTATGTCAAACAGTCACAACTAGAGCTGTAGTTTTACACTGAATACTTTGTAAAAAAAAAAAATCTATATTAATCTTAAAAATTCATTAAACCTGTTCATGCTTTTCTTTTATCTGTTTGGACTGGCCTCCATCTAAATAAAGTTTCTAGCTCGTGAAATTTGAGCACTTTATCTCTGTGGTGAACAATTAATTTTCTTTCCTTAACTAAACCTCCACCTGGAAGATGGCTAATCAAATTCTGAACAATTAACTTTCTTTAGTGAATTCACCCATAAGTTAATAGATGCCTAATAAAATAGTGAACAGTTAATTTTCTTTACCCAAATCAATAATTAATCAATAGATAATAAGTTGATTCACATACCAGCAACAATATCTTCCACCTTTGATATCCGTTTCAACACGTGCTCAATCAGGCTAACCTCTGTACAAGCTTGAAGATTTCTGACACTTTTTTTAAGGGTGGCTACAAATATGCTCCATACTTCTGCCTGTTATCAGTTAATGATAACTAAATATGTTCTTTTCATCAATAAAAATAGTTACAATAGCAACAAAAATATTGGTTAAACAAATAATGTGCCTTTTTTTTAGTTTTTGTATTAATCTAAAATGTAGACAATGATATAACTTCTTTACAGAGATTATAAAACTGAAAAACATTTAATTTCTAACACAGACTGAAGCATCTTTTAGTTTCTCTAAATTTGCTTATTCAACATTTTTTTCAGTCTGAAAAGTACAGTATATAAAAATAAATGTACATGAAAGAGTGCAACAGGTCAATTCTCAGTAAGTACTTGAACTCAAAGATGGTATTATAAAACAGCAGGGTAATAAGCCTTTAAACACCCACCCAGGTCTACACAAGGCACTATAATAAAACAACAGGGTTATAAGACTATGAACATTCAGGCCTACACAGGGTACTATAAAACAGCATGGTAATAACACTTTCAACATTCACCCAGGCCTACACAGGGTACTATAAAACAGTAGGGTAATAACACTTTAAACATTAACCCAGGACTACACAGGGTACTATAAAACAGCATGGTAATAACACTTTCAACATTCACCCAGGCCTACACAGGGTACTATAAAACAGCACGGTAATAACACTTTCAACATTCACCCAGGCCTACACAGGGTACTATAAAACAGCAGGGTGGTAAGCCTTTAAACACCCACCCAGGTCTACACAAGGCACTATTAAAACAATAGGGTAATAACGACTTTAAACATTAACCCAGGACTACACAGGGTACTATAAAACAGCACGGTAATAACACTTTCAACATTCACCCAGGCCTACACAGGGTACTATAAAACAGCAGGGTGTTAAGCCTTTAAACACCCACCCAGATCTACACAAGGCACTATAATAAAACAACAGGGTTATAAGACTTTGAACATTCAGGCCTACACAGGGTACTATAAAACAGTAGGGTGGTAAGTTTAGACACATGTCCAAGCCTACCTATTTACTATGAGACAACAGTACAAGACTATAAACATATCCAAGCCTATAGACGGTACTATAAGACAACAGCATACAAAAACTTTAAACACATATCCAGGCAAACAGAATAAAACTTTTAACTGTAAAGTACCTAGCTAGGTTCACCCTGCTCTGAGGGAAAAATTGCATTATTTAATTGAAAGAATTATAGAAAATAAGCTTGTAGGCCTTCTTCAGAGATGTTTTTACTTACTTCAATATTCAAATGAATTCAATAAAAAAAGTTGTATTTATTTAATTTTACCCATATAAAATTTTTAAAAATCTCTAATATTGATTTTTGGTTGATTTCAGCTTGTTCTGAATGAAAACATCAGTTTCTGGAAGTTTCCTGAATTTTTTTGAGCATAATAAGGTACTCATATGCCCTATAAAAAAACAAAAACAACACTATTGAAAAAAATTGCACCAATTTGAGCATTGTACCTTGATAGAAGTGTAATTTTATCCATTCTTATCAATCACTGTTTCTCAACCTCACCTGTCATGGTGTTATGTGAATGGCCTATATCTTAGCTTCAAAAAGTCATAGGCTGATGATCTACACACATAATGAAAACACTCACCAGAACCAAACATTATTTCTAACCAAGATATTAGAAGGCCTACTGAAAACACTCACCAGAACCAAACATTATTTCTAACCAAGATATTAGAAGG